ACTGCAATGTTAGGGGGCACATTGAAATCCTCCGTGTGAACGTCCCGGCAGCTCCGTGCACCAGCTTTAGCCTCTACAATGGGAACGTCGCACCTTGGTTACTCCAGTCCTAAGAGCCCTCTCCAGGGCGCCCGCCGGAGAACACAAAGACCTACGCCATCCAGTCCGTTCTCTGCCAAACCAAGTTTTGTTCATCTACAGGCAAAGAGCAAAGCAAGTGGCAGCGCCGGGAGGAGCAGACGCGTTTCAGTCCCAAGCTCTGCCCTAACAGGCCCCACATACCTGTCACGGAGAGTGTTGGGACCCAGGTAGGGATACTGGCTGTCCTTGAGTTTTCCTTTGATGAGCTGATCTAGTGTTTCGTGAAGGAGAGGCTGGTGCTGCGTGTACACGTTCTCAACACCCTAGGGTGCAAGAAGAGCCCGTTATGCATGAACACAGCAAGGCAGCAAGCCGAGAGACGGCAAAGGCACACGGCACAGCAGCATCTGACGGACACATCCCTGAAGGCCAGACACGGAGAGGCTTTCAGCAGCTAACTCCCATTGTCCTCAGCGAGAATGATGCCCTCAAAGCCCTGGGCGCTTCCTACTAAACCTCTGCGACCCACGACACAGGGCATTGTCCTGCTCCGTGACTGTAAGTTCGACTAACACTGTCCTTATTTCATCTGTGGCAGATCCATACCTTCAGTCCTTTGAGGAACTGCTTGGTGATGGCTACAGCATCCTTGGGGCTGAACAGGTCACTGCCCCGGACCCGTTTCCCTCCGTACTCCACAACGGCAGACACTAGCTGGAGAGAGAGAGGCAAAACCAGGATCCCATTAGCCTGGGAAAGCAGCTTCCAGGCAGTTTTGTCTGGTTAGGCTCAACAGAGGTACTGGAATGATGACCAAGGAGCCAGGGAGCTGATCCCAAGCAGGTAAAGCAGCACGGAGAGCGGAAAAGGGGAAGGGAAGCAGCATTCCCTGTAGCCACCCAGCAGTCAGCCTGCCGTGACACTGCCTGCAGAAGAGGAGAGGCTTTCGTCTCCACGGTCTGCTGCAGGGACAGCACATCTCCCATGCAACGTGACATCATCCTGCTTCTCCACCTCCTCTCCAGCTGCTCCCCACGTCTGCCAAGCGCCGCCACCCTCTCCCAGCCAAGCTCCGCAAGTCCTTTGCTGCAGCTCTTGCCTACTCAGCAGGAGCTGGGGGAACAGGGGTGGGGAGGAAGAGGGGAAGGAGGAAGGAAGCGCGTCCCAGGCCCCGTTTCCATGCCACGCAGCCGTCCCGGCAGACTCCTGGCACTTCAATCCTTCATAATATCAAATTAATGATTAGCTACGCCTTTTCAAGTAACACCTGCAGGCCCCAGCCACGCTCGGGCTTCTTTCCGCAAGGTGCGGTGCGATCCAACAAACAAAGCCTCGTGCCAAGCTAAAGCAGGCAAGCTGCGTCCCAGCTCCCCGTGTTTTCCAATCCCCGTGCCCTCCCGTCCCGCTCGTGCATCCAGCCGAGGGAGAAATGCTGCGATTACCTTCCGGTATCTCTCCGACACGCCCCTGTTCCGGAGATCTGCCATCAGCCCGGGCAGGCTGTTGCTGCTGTGCCGCTCGTAGTGCAGGGCATAAAGCATCACCAGCCGGGCGGCGTCAAACTCCGTCACCTTGGGGTTCTGCAGGAGACGCCGCACGTTCTGCAACGAGACCGGCAGCCGGATCAGCGGCGAGGCCTTCAAGGGACGTTACATCAGGCCAGTCCCAAGCCCACTGCCTAGCAACAAAACTGCAGGCAGGAGGAACGCAAGAGCGTTAAACGGTGTCACAGGCCACGGAGCCCAGCTCCTTACGCACCCCGCCGTTAGATTCCGTAGAGTACAATGGAGCACAGGTTGCCTGTGGGTCTCTTCATAGAATCATAGAATAGAATCACAGAATGGTTTGGGTTGGAAGGGACCTTAAAGATCATCTAGTTCCAACCCCCCTGCCATGGGCAGGGACACCTTCCACTAGACCAGGTTGCTCCAAGCCTCATCCAGCCTGGCCTTGAAGACAGCCAGGGATGGGGCATCCACAACATCTCTGGGCAACCTGTTCCAGTGCCTCACCACCCTCTCTGTGAAGAATTTCTTCCTGATATCTAATCTAAACCTCCCTGATTTCAATTTGTACCCATTACCCCTTGTCCTGTCACTACAGGCCCTTGTAAAAAGTCCCCCCCAGCACCCTTGTAGCCCCTTCAGGTACTGGAAAGCTGCAATGAGGTCTCCTCGGAGCCTCCTCTTCTCCAGGCTGAACAAGCCCAGTTCTCGCAGCCTTTCGTCATAGGAGAGGTGCTCCAGCCCTCTGATCATCTTCGTGGCCTCCTCTGGACTCACTCCAAGTGGTCAATATCCTTCTGATGTTGGGGGCTCCACAGCTGGACACACGCTGGGAATTCCTAACCCAGTTCTGTTGTCCATTCTTAACTCCCGGTAACATGCTGGGGGGTGAGCTCAGGTAACCCTGCTTAGAGAAAACTTCAACCTCTGCCCTTCCCTTTCCAACCTGAGTAGAGCCAACACTGGCTCCCCGCTTCCATCGACTCGGGAGAAGCGAGCCAGGACCATGACACAAATTCTGGTTTCTTTTGGAAGGTGTGGGGCAGATGCATCGAAGTCTCAGATAACCTTTGGGGGTGAGAAGTGGGGGAGAATGTATCACGCATTGGGCAGCAGAGGAGGAAAGGAATTAAAGGGAAATTACAGCCCTAATTACTGAAATCCACGGTTAGTGCTTCTGACACGCAGAGGAGGAGTTCTGCTGCTGCAGAGAAGGCGATACCCTTGTAAACATACAGGGTGCCTGCCCCAGAGAGGGCCCTGCGCAAGGCCAGACCCTTTCCAGAGGGCGGCAGAAGCCCATGCACGCCACATTCCCCCCGGGGACCGCCGGCAGGACATCACCGCTCGGCTGACCATTGGACGCACAAGCCA